AGTTATTAAGTAATTTTTGGTGTAACTAATATAATCAAGTGTGCTTTTTTTTGAATTTCTGTAAATAACTCTTGTTTAATTCTGTAAACTCTTGTTTAATTCTGTAAATAACTCTTGTTTAATAATATAAAAATAGAAATGTGTTTTATTTTATTTTGAAGAAATATAAATTATTATTGAAAACTTGCTACTTCAAATGTAAAATCTTGTTTTGATGAAGTTTTTTTACAATATTACTATAATAAAAACAATTAAATATCATTTCCTCAGTTATATTTTCAAATAGATTAATAATATTTAGTTGTTATTCATTTATATATAAGTTAAAATATTGAATATTTTTTAAATTTTCACAAGGTTTTTAAAGGTTTAAGGATGGTGTTTTATTAGAGTTAGGTAATGAAAAATATTGATGCACTCCTAATCAGTCTTCTCAAAATTTAGATGAAAAAGCAACTTCTTCAGAGTTCATAGGTTTATATGGAATATGAAAACTAGTTATGTAAAACATCTGAAAAAATTTTCTTTTTACAAAAACTTAAGTGTTTAACTCTTTATAATTACAAGTTGGTATAAAGATGTAGTAATGAGCTTAGAACAACCTCTGCTCCAGCTTAAGCTTTCACTTTGCATACTTTAAGTACTTTACCAGTAGTCTGGCACAACTGCATATAAACTTTGTATTAAGTATGCTTCATAGAACAAAGACTTTACATTTAACGAGAAGCACATTTAGAAATCTAATCACATTTGCAGTTTAGCTTTAAATGCAGGATCATCTAGTAATTAACAGACTACAAAGCATTGTAGCATCGTAAACTATTGAAATAAATTAATGACTTAATTTCACATATTTGTTTTGATATAGTAAACTAATTATGAAATAAAACTTGTAAACAAAATCTCATTAGAGTTCATATATTGACATGAAACATGTAAGCTAGTTTTGCAATCAGTACAAATTTTCTTTTTTAAAAATTCTAATGCTCAATTTATTATAATGAACATATAAATGAATTTATAAATAAAATTCTTCACCAGTAGTCTAGAAAAACTGCATTTAATCTTTGTATGCAAAAGTACTTTACCAGTAGTCTTGTACAACTGTGTATAAACTTTGTAGTTGAGTATGCTTCAAGTTCAAGGACCTTACTTTAACACATATTTTTTTTTTCATTTCTTTAAATTAACAGATAAATCCCCATCACCAAGATAAACTTTATTGAAGTTTTGAGATTTTTATGAGTAAAAATTTTCTTGTATAATTAGATTTTGATGCTCTAAAGAGTACTAAAATAAAATGAGTTTCCTGTGTTGATAGTCACATCCATTTGTGTTGATAGTTAAACATCCATCTGTTTTATATTTTAATTTAGCTTAAAAACTTTATTTCAAATTGATTTTTACATGATAGTCTTAACATTAAAACTAATTTAAATGATGATGCTACCGTTTTTAACTAAAGTGATATGATTGTTAAAATTACCTAATTTATCTGAAAGGAAAGGCTGAGTAAACTTTCAGAGAGATGTATCTGAAATCGAGAAAGTGTTAATTTACTCAAAATAAATTTTCTTTAGTTAACAGTTCAAATTTACCACCCTATTTCTTTGTTTTTTGAACATTAGCACCAAAATATCATGTTTATCAGTAAGGAATTTTTTTATAATGTCTAGCAGAGCATAATTGCTTTTCCTTAGATCTACGCTTGTGTAAATTAGTTGATGATGATCACTCACATCCGTACAAAAGGTATTTGAATATTGAAAGCACAACTTTCTATTAGTGAAATCTATGCATAAAGTTTATTAACTGATTTAAAACAAGTTGGTTGTTTAATTAAATTAATGCGTTGATAAAGTTGAAGGAATCCCTTCATTATTTTATCAGAAGGTTGTATTTTAAAATCACCAATAAGAATATAATCTATATATAATTGTAAACAAAAGCGTCCGGAAAGGAGGCTAAGGGGTGTCTAGCCCCCCTACAAAATTAATTAGTCGGCAAATTGGACACAGAGGTAGGCAAAATTGGATCTATAGTTGGCAGTTGGCAAATGTTTGACAGTGAGGACCTTTTTTTTTTTCTCTCCAGATCTTAGTTAGCAAAAAAAAAATCCTATAAGCTTTACTCTGTAAAAAATAGATAGGTCACCCCCCTTTATGTACTCTTTGGGATGCCCCTGATTGTAAATAAATATACTTTCATAATTTAACTTTCACGGGAAAGTTTTCTGAATGTGTGCAATTGTATGCGCTCAGAAAACTTTTTGCTCATATATATATATATATATATATATATATATATATATATATATATATATATATATATATATATATATATATATATATATATATATATATATATATATATATATATATATATATATATATATATATATATATATATATATATATATATATATATATATATATATATATATATGTATATATCAGGCCTTGTTACGAGATTTCGCTGCGTAACGGAAAAGCTGAACGTGAATAAAAGTAACTTTACTCAATAAAGATATTTACATTGTTAAAAGTTAATTTACGTCAGTTGCGTTTTTACTTCATTGTAATTAAATTTAAAATGACATTAAAAACTATTGTTAGTCTTTGAAACGAAATAGCTTTAAATTGCACAATGTTGTTATAAAAAAAAAAAAAATTCAATGTTGGTTAAAAAAAAGTCTTCTTGTATTAAAATCTTATACTTATTTAAACTTAATTTTTTTGCTTTTAAACATTCGTTTTAAGGTTGTTTTTTTTTTTATTTATTTTTTTAAATAATTTAAATTTAACACTTGTTTATGGTTGATTTTCTTAAAGGGATTTAAATGTACTTATAACTAAACGCATAGATTGGGTTTTCCCTTTAAAAAAAAACGTTTGTTTTGATAAAATAAATGTTGTAAAGAAACAAAATTTACTGCTTTTTCGGCTTTGTTTTTTTTTATTTCCATTAAACTATTTTATTTTTATGTACAGTGAAACCTAATATTTTTTTTCTCAATCCAAAAAAAAATTGTGTTTTCGGTTTTCAGATGTTATAAGCAGAATTTGTTTTTAACAAATATCATTATAATTTTGAAATTAATGTATCTTATATTTATAGCTCAAGTACTAGTTTTGTTTTTAAAATAAAATAAAGATAAGTTGGGTTTTTAAAGAGTTTATTTACTGATCACGTTATTTTTAATAGGTTTGTATTTTAGTTTGTTCAAGGACGTATTGTTAATACGTCCTTGGTTTGTTTTATAAAAAAAATTCTTTGGCAAATGGCAAAGGGAAAACCCAAACATAACATTTATAACTCGAGTTTAAAAGTATTGACGTCATTTATTAACTTGTAGTTATAAAATGAATAATGCGCTTCTGTAAATAATGAATGAAACTGTAAAATAATGGAAAAATAAAAACTGGAAAATAATGCGCTTTTGTAAGCGCATCTTTCAGACCAGTATTTGGAACTTACCTGAAACTTAACTAAAATTAAAATAAAGTTATATGTAATACGAACATTTTAAAGTAACTTGAATTAAATTTATCAAATCTTTTTTTACTTTAGTAATTTTATAAAAAAAATTACTAAAGTAAAAAAAATTTTGATTAATTTAATTCAAGTTTTAATTAAAATTTTAATTAAAATTCTTTCATTTAATTAATGAAAGAATTTTAATTAAATTTAATAAATTTATTTACTAAAAACTATAATTATTAAAAAAATATTTAAATTTTAAAATAAATTGAAAATATTTCTTTTTTTAAATTTGATTGTTTATAAACTTATGAAATCTAATATTTAAAATTAAATATGATGAAAAGTTTAAACTTAAAACACTTTATTTTCTTTAAGTAATTTTTAAAAACAAAAAAAAAATTATTAAACAAATTGTTTCTTTAACAAAAAATCTATTAGTTTACAATTGCGGTTAAATGCTTTTACTTACGACTTTAATACTTCTGAATGAACGTCACATAAACGATGTAAAAAGATAATTTAAATATTCTTAAAGATAAAAGTTTTTGCTGAACGCATAACTGCTGAACGCGTAGGCAAATCGCCTTTTCGCAGGCAAAATGCGAGCTGCGTAACGCTTCTTAACAAGGCCTGATATATATATATATATGTATATATATATATATATATATATATATATATATATATATATGTGTATATATATATATATGAAATGTTCATATTAATATTCAGAGCTGGATGCCGCATTTTTTAGTGTTTAAGATAACCTCCAAACATGAAACAAACTCCAAACATTTATATGTTTATACTAATGTCAAATAAAATTATTAGAGCCTGGGGAAAATGCCCCTAAATTTTTGCTCCACCTGCCCTGAAAATAAAAACAACAAATTGAAAAAAAAATTTTTGTACTATTTTTAACTAGACATAAATTCATCGATAAATTTTAGGTTTCATAGTATAATCTCTCAGCCTTCAAAAATTATGATCTTGTGAAGTTTAAACCTCTCTCAATTTGAGGGGGTTACAAATTTCTTGAAATCTTAAGCTCTCTAAAACCCCAAAATTTATTTTTCTTGATAGGGTAATCACAAGAGGCATTTTTTTCCTGGAAATATAAAATTGTGAGGAGGTTATTTGATTTTGGAAATGTAGAGCTAACAATCATCTCTGGTTTGTTTTGATTTTTTAAATAGATGTTCTATATTAGGTTGTCATATTATGATAATATTTTTTACATTGAAATTATAATTAAATTTTAATTAACTAACTAATTTAAATAAAATATTTAATTAAAAAAACAAAACAAAACAAAAAAAAACATTAAATTAAAATACATTTAAACTTTACCAGATGTTATTCTTTAGGTTCTTTATTTTTTTTAATTCTCCATATTCCATATTTTCTCTGTGTTTTTTATTTACTTGTGTTTGTGATGTTTAACTAATTTCATATTTCAAAAATTCCTGATTTAAAAACATTTAAATAACTTTTCTGTTTTTTTTTTTTAACTTTAGGGGGTTGTGTTTAATGGAACAAAAGAAGTAGAGAATGGTGAGAAATTCATCTTTACATTAAGTTATATTGAGTTTTATTAAACTTCTCTAATGTTTTTTCATTTTTATTTATTTTCAGAGCCTGTTTTGTCAACTGGTGTTTACATTCATCCAAGTGGTTATTCATATACAGTAGCTCCAAATGGTGTATGGTATTTTCACAATTCTGATGGTAAACCACCAACACGTGTGCCTGGTTCACCTCCAATGGCATATGCACCTAATATTCTGCAGCGTAGAAGAAGTTCCAATAGTCAAACTGAACAAACAATCTTGCTGAGGCAGCGGCAAACACCAGGTGAATGTTGCTCATCTCCTACTTGCGAGTCTTTGTCTCCTACATCGGTTAACTCTTCTCCAGATGTAAGCTTGCCTATTTTTCATGGTGCTCCATCAGCAGAAGTTCAACCTATTCTGCATAATCGTCAAGTCATTCAGCCAACTATTTTTCCTGTAAGTAAAAACTATTATCAAATAATTTAAAATATTATGAATTTTAAAACTTTCCTTAAATAAAATTCCATATAAAATATTTAATCCTGTAGTATTGCTGATTTTACGTGTTAAGTTTGAAATGAGAATGGAAAACGATGTTTTATATATTTTTGAAAAATATCTATTTCATTTAAATTTTATTTTTTATTTTAACTGAGAAAACTAGAATGAAATATTAAATGGTCGTATGAGCCTCTTTAATGATGTTAGCATGAACAATTCCTCTGTACTTTGATAAAATCATTTTGAGAACTCCAACCAAAATAACGGGCATTACTTTTCTTCACTTCTTTTTGGCAGCAGAAAAACGTCTAAGTGTAAATAAAAGCATTTTTTATTTTTTTTTTTCTGTTTATACTTATTATAAAAAAAGCGCTTAATATTGATGCATAAGTTTATAGTATTATAAATTATGCATCAATATTAGTTATTATAAGAATTTTTACTTTCCTTGGTTAATTCAAAGAAAAAATTTAAGTATTGAACTCAAATAAAAGAAATTTATATAGCTATTATGATATTTAGCAAATTAAAAAAAAAAGTCTTAGAATTCCAAGTATGGAAGTTACTTCAACCATGTGTTTTAATGATGTATTTTTGTCATATGAATTACTGACATCAGTAAAAAGTATGCTAATCGCGTAACCAATTGACTTTACTTTTGATATAAGAAGTTTAAAGAACAAAATCATCAAAGCCTTATCAATATGTTTTAATAAAATAAAATAAAAGTTCTGGTTATTGTGCGCCTTCTAATTCTGCACCTGGGTACAAAAAGTACCCAGTTACCCCTATCTATGCGGTATCTAGCTATGTATGAACTCAAATAAAAGAAATTTATTTATGGTATTTAGCAAATTAAAAATAAAAATCTCGGTAGTGCTCACTTTGTAAGCAAAAAATTCCGACTTCAATCCCCACCACCTCCTTGGTAGAACCATGCTCAACTTGTTTCTCTGCGCAGTGTTCTTGTTTGTCAATGTTTGTGTTTTGGAGTTAAAAAGTTGAGAGATGGTTGTAACCTTAACAATAAAAAAAGTAGTCTCCTTGCCTGTGTGGCCTAATATAAAATTAAAAAATAAATAAAAGAAAATTTATTTATTAATTTAACATTGTTTTAAATAATTTAGCCTCAACATGAGTATGTCCAACAAACACCATTTGTAAATCCTGGCCTTCAATTTGCATTTCAAAGTATGTCTATCTCATCTCCACCATCTTGTGCTCAAGGGTTAACTGGGAATGAGACAGTTCATCAAATACACCCTCCTCCCCTGACTTCTTTTCATGGATTTAATGGAACTTCGTCAACTCACATTAGCGAAATGTATTTACCATATTACCAGAATAAGATATTGCCTGGAAACATTTCAGTAAATAACGTTAACAATCCACAGCAGGTTAGTAAAATATTTTTAAAAAATCATTATTATCATATCTACTTTATCATAAAAAAATTTAATTAAAAAATGTATATATGTATTATATATATAATATTTTTATATATGTTAATATAACATATAAAAATATTATATACTATAATCAACAAAAGGAAAAGAATTTTTAAAAAAGCTTAAAATTCCATCAAAACAGCGAGAGAATTTTGTTGCGCATATATCATAATAGAGATACTTATGTTATTAATGTGCTTGGGTAATTAGCGGTCTTGGCATTTAACACACATTAAAGCAGTGGTTCCCAATCTTTCCAATGTTGTGACCCCTTGATATTTTTTTCCAAGTTGTGGCAACCCCAACGATAAAATTAATAAGGTTCCTCCTAAATCACTGCTTTTTTGCAGCTATTGCATGGTGGCCACAGTCCAGGAATGTCCTGAAATGTCCTGGATTTTTGCAAGTGTCCTGGAATGTCCTGAAATGTCCTGGAAAATTACATTTTTTTCAAAAATGTCCTGAAATGTCCTGGATTTTTTTTTCTTTCAAGTTAAAAGTCAAGTTAAAAAATCACTAATAATATTGAAGTAATATTAAATTTTTTATGCGAAAATTTTTCTTTTATAAATGGTTTGAATTTAATTTTAAATAAGAGAGTAATAATTATATAATAATATAATATTCTATTCTATAATTCAATCAATATGAAAAAAATATAACGTAAAGATAATTGATAATATTCATTTAATAAGATATAAAATGTCCTGGAAAACGCAACAAAATGTCCTGGAATGTCCTGGAAATGTCCTGGAATTTAACTTTTAAAATTATGTGGCCACCATGTATTATGTTTTTTGACTTCTAAATATTTTATTTATATTTATATATATATAAAATTTTATTTATAGGCACTATATTTTTTTTGCTGCGAACTTTTTTATAATTAGTTTATATTAATTTAACTACATAACAATTTGTTATATTTTTTTGCTTAATATTTACAAAGGAATAAAATGTTTATATTGTAAACATTTTATTAAGCTCAGTTTATCAACATTGTGTGTGACTCCTAATTGTAAAGGGTTATTTTATTTCAAATCCTATCATTAAGAATGATAGGATTTGAAATAAAATAACAAAAGTTTGACATATCCTATCAATTCCAAAGTATCTATATGTGGATATATTTACAAACACTTCCAGCTGGTCCTGTTTGTAGATAAAAGTTTCTCAAGAAAGATACCATGTTGAGCTGATATAATTTATCAACTTATTTAAAAAAGATAATTAAGTTCTTTTTCTTTTTATGGATAAGGTTGTTAAGTTCATTTCTGGAATTTATCTTGTTGCTCTGTTGTACTTTTTCGATAAGAATAATATCTTTTTTTTTAAATGGATTCCAAATAGAAAATGCATATTTAAGATGAGGGCGTCATAGCAAAATATATAACAATTTAACAATATCAGTGTTTAAAAGTGAAAATGTGTGTCGGATAAGACCTAAAATTCTATTTGCTTTAGACACATGCAGATATATGATAATCATATTTCAAATCATTTTTTAATATGACACCAAGGTCATTTTCACATTTTACAGTGCTCAATTGATAATCAGAAATGTAATACTTTTTGATTTCATTGTTAAATTTTGTTCTTTCAGTGACATGCATGTTTTTACATTTTTCTATATTTAATTGCATACTCCAGTCATTGCACAAATTAAAAATAAGTTCTATGTCATCATCTGTGATAAAAGTTGTAATGATCAGTTGTAGATCATTACAACTGTTATCACAGATTATCTGGAAATTTTAAAATTGTCAGCATAGAGCTTGCATTTGTTTTTTGGTTTATCCAAAAGATCAGCGATATAAGTTAAAAACAAAATTGGTGCTAGAACAGTTTTTTAAAAATTTTTTAATATTAGAACTTGTTTTTTCTATGTTTTTAATACCTCTTCCAATTCAAGGGATAGCTTAAAAATATGTTCAATAAGAATGCTCAAACTTTCAGAGCAGTTACTTATTACATATGGTTGGACTTTGTTGTTCCCACAGGCTTTGTGTTTATCCTATGATTTGAATTGAAAAATAGTTTCTTTTTAGCTGATTATTTTGTTTATATAATTTTTACAGTAAACTTGAGTAACAGGATCAAATTTTAATAGGGTTTTGTTATCATTTTGAGTAAATACAGGTTGAAAAAGGTGCTCAACAAATTATAAATGTCTCAAAGGTTATCACTTATTGTACCATTTGGAAACCAAATGGTACAATAAGTAATAACCAAATGGTACTTATTGTACCATTTGGTTATCACTTATTGTACCAAGTGCAAATTCCTTCATTATATTTTTGCTGTTCACATATGCATAAAATTTCTTAGGATCAGATTTAAAACTTAGTCATATTCAAGTTGTTTCAAGGCGATATCAATCTGGTCTTAGTTTTAATAATTTTGTATTTTGTTAACAATTCGTGATTATTTTTACCTGATGCAATAAACTTTGATCATAATTTTTTTTTTCATTATTTAATTTCAATATATAAGATATAATCAACACTTGTTGCGGTTGTCCATATTTTTTTGAAAATTTGATAAACTTATTACAGGCCATCATATATACTTTGAAAAAATTACAACACTCATTGATATTCCTATCCCTAAATAATGCTTTCCAATTAATTGAACTAAAATGTTGTATCATTTTAACATATTCATTTTTTTTATTTAAAAAATTTGAAATAAAAATTTTTTTTAGTCATGTTATAGAATTTACCAAATAGTTTCATGTAAGAATTATGTGTGCATGAGCGATCTTACCTAAAGGAGGGTTTTATGCAAGTTCAGAAACATGGTTTGAGTTTTCTGTAAATATAAGACAAAATATGTTGGTAAGTTCCTTGTCAGACTTATAAAATGTTGGAAAAAATACATTTTGTGACAAAAAACAGTCATTTATAGTTTCTGTAAAATTAAATTCAGAACTATATTAATCTGAACATGTAATAATCTAGCTATCATCAATCCATTTTATATTTGGAAAATTAATATCACTGGCCAACAAAAAACCTATATAAGTATTATTATCATAAATATGTTTTGCAGCCTGAATCGGTTTACTGAGGTTTTGATTATTTTCAGAGTTTGGAGGTCTTTAGACGCATCTAACTAATATTTTTTCAAACCCTTAAATGAGTCCATGCCATACTTATTCAATATCTGAATAGCATGATTAAATAGAGTTAATTTTAAAAGTTTTAAGATCTTTTAGTGTATAAATACATACTCCATCACCTCACCTGTCATTTTTGAAATATATTAACTCCCATGTTTGAGTTCTCCCATGGAGAAGTTTTGTCGCAATTTTTTTTTTCTTTATGTTTTCCTAAAACCACATCTATTGTTTTAACTTGAACATCTGAACTTATCATTATATTTGCATTACTAATATTTTTTCCTGACTCCATTCTTTAACAATATTGGACAAAATGCTGAATGTAACGAGTTTCAAAAAAATATTTATGCAAATAATAAATTTGGTATAATATAATAAATTGATTATATAAAATGTTTTTAAACGAGATTACTAAAATTGAATGTACAATTATTAGAGAGATATTTCTTAATAACTTTAAAGTTAAAAAAAATTTTAACTGGAGATTGTAGCTTATTTTTAGCTGACAAAGCAACATTTTTAGGTCAATATACACATTATACCATTGCAATATATACACAATTAACTATTTCAAAAAAAAAAGTTTATTGTACACACTCATATTTAGGCAAAATATGAATTTGCACAAAGTTTTAGATCAGTTGAATAGTCAGTTAAATTGACCCTGCCCAATCCAAATAAATAATTTATGGAATGAATCTTTATTTTTTCACACTAAAAGTATGTAAAAATATATGTAGTGAAATAGGTTTTTAAGAGAAAACCAAGTACAGGTATATTTATATATGGTATAATTAAATAATAACAGTAGTAATATAGTACAGCTATAAAATTAACAATGTATTAATTATATAATTAATATAAGTCTATTTTATATTTCTTTTTAAAATATATGGAAATTCTTTGGAGTTATATTTAACAACTTGCAATAAAAAATTTTATTCTTAATTTGAAACTTGAAAACTAGAATTAAACTTAAACACTTGTTGCAAAATCTTAAATCAATTATACAGACCTTCACAAATGTTTCAACTTCTTTGTAATTAGAGTATTTTCACCACTCAGTAAACACTGAAACTAAAGAAAACACTGCTCATTCTTCAGTTAACTACAAGAAGTATTTTTCCATTGCTTTAAAATTGCATTAGAAATTTGTGAATTATGTTTAATAATTTTTATAGTCATATCATAGTTTCTGATTATGAGCTGCATTGTCCCCAATGAATGAGCAGAGCCAATTTTTACTGGAGAAATTTGCATTTAATTTATATATTGTTACCAATTTTGTGATCATGTCCTGGTCATTATTCTGTTTGAAAACTAAATGTCAACTTCTTTGTAATATACAAAATTGATGACATTCATCTAAATTCATTTATTGAGCTTTGCTTTGGAATTTTTGGCTGGAATAGGAATGTTTCTAACACTATTCAATCATCAAATAAGAAATTTTATTAGATCATCTTTTTTTCTTTGCATGAATCCATAGTTAAATAAATAAAGTAGCAAAGTACATCCCCATTTGTGGGCAGCTGATTTGACCATTTTCTGGTTCAAAACTTCTTTTGTTTTTTTTATATTTTACCTAATAAAACAAAGTTTCATTACTTGTAAGTAACAAAGATAATGATGAAATACTTTCATAAATAAAACTCTGGCTTTTTACAAATTTTTTGTATATTCATATACAGGGTGTAAGCTAACACTGTGGGTCCCGTCAAACGCGGTATTCCCAAATGCTCATAAAATTAAATTTCTCAATTTAAAGTTAAAAAAATCCTATTCTCCAAATAAAGTTTGCCAATTTAAAATTTAATAACAATTCTAA